AAAATTAAATTTATAATAAAGATATAATTTAATAAAAAATAATTATTTTATTATATATAATAAAATGTAAAACAGTACATATAGAATAATTTTTTAGTTTATTTATTGTTGAATTATATTTTTTTTTTATTTTTTTAATTTTTTTTTATAAAATTACATTTTTTTTAATTATTAATTTTTATAGAAAATAAAATTAATAATATTTTTTGCAAATAAATTTATAATAAAAATATAAATAAATGTTGTTATATTTTCTTTTTACACATAATAAATTATATGTAAATTTTTTATTGAGAATATATAGATCAATGTTATTTTATTTTCTATTCTATATAAAAAAGATGTGTTAATATATAATAATAATAATATTAATAAATTTTAAAAAAATATAATAAACATATATATTAAAAAATATTATTAAAAAAATAATATTAAATAATTATAATATAATTTAAATTAAAAAAAATAAAAAAAAATGATTCTTAAATAAAATAATTTAGTAATAAATATTACTAGAAATAATAAAGAAACTTTTATAATACTTAATAATCTTATATATAAATAAAAAAAAATTAAAATAATATTAAATATAATTTTATCTAGGATATAATAATTATTTACATTGTTGTAAAACTAATTTATTTTAAATAATCATATATTTATTTTGATATAATTAATATATAATTATAATTAATTATTTAATACTAATATATATTATTTAAAAAAAAAAAAAATATATAAAAATAAAAAAATATAGATAATGAAAATTATTATTAATAAAAATTAATTTTTAATTATAAAATATAAAATTTTAATATTTTATAAATTTGTTTATTAATTTAGTTTTAAATTATATAAAATATTATAAAATAAAAAAAAAGATTTAATTTTTTATTAATTTCTGTAAAAGTTTTAATATAAAAATATTAAAAAAAAATACTATAAAAAAAAATATAAAATAAATATTAAATTATTAAAAATATAAAAAAAAAAAAAATCAAATTAATATATAATTATATAATTTAATGAATATGAAAAAAAATTATTTAATAATATATATATATAAAAAAAATATAATAATATTTTTATTTAATAATATATAAATTTAAAAATAATTCAATATATAAATATAATTATATATATAAATATATATATATAAATAATTATATATACATAATTAACTTTTTATATTTTTAATGATTATAAATAATTATTATTATATATATATTTTTTTTAATTATTTTATTTATTATATATATTATATATTTTTTTATTTTTATTATTTTTTTTTGTATGTTTTATTAATTTAATATTATTATTTTAATTTATTCTTAAATACATTATTTGAATAATTTATATAATTTAATATAGATTTTATTTTCTTATATATATTTTATATTTTTTATAATTTTTTTTTTACTTAAAAAAATTTAATCAAAATAATTTTAGATATATAATAAAATAAATATATATTTTATATTACTTTAAAAAAAAATTAATAAAAAAAATATTTTTATATATTTATGTAATAACTAATTATCTTTTTTTTTTAATATATCAAAATAAAAATATTTAAAAATTTTAAATAAATGGGTAATAAATTTATTTTTCCATCTCCAGAAGTCAGCTATTCATGTTAATCTATAAATAACATAAAAAAAGAATAGCAAATTCAATTTGTAGACTCAGAACAAGTAGACAGTAATAAAAAAAAAAAAATTATCATAATAATAATAAACAGATAAATAAATAAAACTTAAGATTCCAATTTTAATTTTGCAAAGCTATTAGCCATCAAAAAATTACTTTTTATATTTTCACGGTAACGCTGAAGATATAGGAATAGCCCGTTAATTTTTAAGATAAATTCAAGCCTTTTTAAACGTAAATATAATCGCAATGGAATATAAAGGATACGGAATATATAATGGAGAAATATCAGCCGAACAAATAAAACATGACTCATTAAGAGTATATAATCATATGTGCGAAAAAATTTATATTTAAGAAAAAAATATTTTCCTTTTTGGAAGATCTATTGGGACTGGTCCTGCATGTTTTTTAGGCTCCAAAAGATAACCAGGAGGTATTATTTTAATGAGTGCATATACTTCTATTAAAAATTAGTCGAATAATTGTCTTTGAGATTTATAAGCCTTTTTTTCACCGAAAGATTTGATAATTTGGAATTAATGAATTAAATCTAATCACCAGTATTACTTATTCATGGAAAAAAAGACGCTTTAATTACATGTGATCATTCATAAAATCTTTTTAATAAATTAAAAGAACATAAAAAAGATTGTAAATATGTGGGGATTTAGGATATGACTCATAATTAATTTTTATTAAAAGAAGATATTATAAATTAAATTTTAAACTATTTCAGTGGAGTTATATAAGAAACTGATGTTAATATTAATATCGATTAAGATGATTATTATTATTGAATCTATATTTTGATTTACTTTATTTATTTTATTTTAAATTTCTTTTATTATTATTTTATTAATTTATATGTGTAAAATTTATAAATTTTAATTAATTAAATTTAAAAAATATATAAAATTTTGTGAAGCTTTAGTATTTTTTTATATTTAAATTTATCTAATACAATCCTTTTTTTTTATAAATAAAATTAATTCTTATAATTATTAAAAAATTAATATTTTTATAATATAAATGACTATGATATAACATTTTATTGAACTTATTTTTAAAATAATAATAATTAATATTATTATTTTATTATACTCTATAATATAGATGGTAAATTATAAAAATAAAAAACGGAAATTAATTTATTAAATAATGATTATTTTAATTTTGATTTAAACTAAATATTTCTTTTAAAAGAATATAATATTTTAATTCATAAAAAATTTTTTTGCACTAATAAAGTATATCAATATGCTATAAATTGTTTAAATAGAAGTTTTAAAGATTTAAAAGTAATATAATATAAATCAATTGTAAATAAATATAGATATATTTTAAATTATAAAAATATTTTTTAAATTTAAATTATATAAAACTTATAATTAAATATTAATTAAAAAATTTTGAATAATTTATTAAATTAAAAAAACTTATTTTTTATAATTATAATTCTTAAAAAAATTAAAAACTAAAAATTTTTAATTAAATAATATAAATCTTTAAAAAAAAATATTATAATATAAAAAAATAAAAAAAATAGAATTATATTAATAATTTTTATAAAATAATATAATATAAATTTAATTTAATTTAATTTAATTTAATTTAATAATTAATTTAATTTAATTTAATTTAATTTAATTTAATTTAATTTATTATTTATACTTTTAAGAATATTCTTATTTTTTTTATTAAAAATTTATTTTATATAATATTAATATATTATAAAATATTATTATTTATTATTGAATTTAATAAATAAAATAATATTTTATAATTAAAAAATAAAATATTTTTTTTAATTTAAATATTAAAAATTGATTATTATTAATATTAATTGTTTTATAATATTATTTTAGTTTTATTTAATTCTATTATGTAATAATAATCATTATATAGTATGCTATTAAAAATCTTATTTATAAAATAATTTATAGATAAAATTAAAGATAAATTAATAGTATAACATATTTTTGATAAATATTTAATCAGTATATTAGTTTATATTTTCTTAATTTTTTGAGATTTTTAGTCACTTTTATATAAAATTTATTTAATTTATTTATCAATATATTATTGATTTTATATATAACATAATATATTCAAATTTCTTTAAGTTTTTTTTTTTTATCTCATTATATATTTTTAGATTTCAAAAGTAATTTTTTTATTACTTTTATTTTATATATAATTTTTATTTTTTTGTTTAATTTTTTTAATTTTTATATTTTAATAAACAAAAATATATTAGAAAAAAGGAATAATTAATTTTTTTTATTATGATTTATTTTTTCAAATATTACATTAAATATTAAAATATGAAAAATTAATATAATATTATATACTTATTCTTGTTTAAATTTTTTTTTTATTTATTTTATAAATTAATAATATAAATTATTTTTATTGAAATTCAAAAAAAATTTTAATAATTTTTAGATGAAATCAAATAGATAATAATAATTTTTTTAAAATTTTGAACATTAAGCATAATTAAATGATTCTAATTTAATTTATTCCCAAGTGAAAAAAAATTATTAAAAGTAATTAAATATTGAATAAATATAAAATGGTAAAGTATCAACCTAAGTACTGTAAATTATTTTAAGTATTCATCAAATAATTAATTATTTTTTCAATTACATAAAAATTATAAATTAGCATATAAGATAATATATTAAACGCTTATAAATAATATTAATTAAAATTTACGAACAAAAGACAAAGTAACTGCGTTTGATTAGATAACAATATTAATGGTTGATTATTCCGTTCCACCTGTTAATTTTACAATTTCTATTAATAATTCTTAAAATAAAATAAATTTAAATTAAGAAATATTTACTTAATTTGATTGTCAAGAAGATACAAATGTTGATGACTTAATAATTACAGGGGCTATTTTATATTAGAATTAATAAGTAAGTATAATATCAATAACTTACATCTAATTTAGATTTAAAGTTTGGGAATATTTTTCCGACTTTTAAAATTAAAATTAATTTGAACTAAAATTTTCAGTAAGAAATCCAAATTTTATAACACCAACAGTATTTTCTTATTCTTTAAATGCTAACATACCTCCATAAGATTGTACTTTTGATTAAACTGCAGGATATGAAGTTATAAATATGTAAGATAAATAAATTCTTTAAATAAACGAATGTATTGATATTGATTAACCTTTAACTTATTCTTTCTATTTTTATAAAAACTAAGATGATTATAATAATGAATTATTAAATGAATAATATGTTAATAGGCATTTATTATCTGATTTCACACCAAATACTAAGATTGAAACTGTTTTACCTTTTGGTGCTTCTTTAATTATGGGAGTAATATAAGATTCAAAGGGAGAAATAAGAAATATAACTTAATAAATTACTGTAAACCAATATACTTAAGATAGTTCTTCATATTATACATTTACAAATAATTGATTTACTTTAACTTAGTAAAATTATTTTTTATAATATTATTACTAATTATATTATTAATCATATGTTTGTCCTTTTGATCGGCAACAAATTCTTAATTTGTATAATTATATTAATATTTTAAATGAATTAATTAAATAGTAATTTTTTATATAATATAATATTATATAGGAATTATTATCAATTAATACAAATTCTTGTATTATAAGCTTAATAACTTAAAACATACTTATTTTATAACAAATAAAAATAAACAATAATTATATAATTTTTAATAAATAACAATTTATATTTTTTTATTCAACATTTACAAATTGCCTAGAGAAGAAGATAATGATAATAATTATATGTACTTTTAAAATATTTAAGGCAAATGTATTTCCAATTATTGTATACTTTTATATTATACTAATAGCTTAAATCGAAATTATTAATTTGCATGTTAATGCAAATCCCAAGGAAAATAAATTCTTTTTAAGGGCATAAATAGAATATTTAAAGTGATTCCTATAAAAAATTAATATTTTTATGCTTTTGTATGGACTTTAATTACTACTACTATAATTTATATATTATTTATATATTTATAATAAACTGATAATACTTAAGGTTAATAGTTAGTATAAAACACAATAAAAATAAATTAAATCACAGAAATTATTTTTAAAATGGATATTAATAATTGATGAACGAAATAAATGACTAAATAATATTTTTAAAAACTATTAATATATTTTTAAAATAAAAAACTAAAATCTTATTTAAAATTCCAATTAAAAATAGCTTTTTTATAAATTAATTTTTTTTTTTTTTTTTCGTTATTTATTTAAATTAATTTTTTTTTTTTTAATAATTTTTCAAAAAAACAATTTAACATATTGTATACCAAATTATTATTTAAATAAGTTATATAAACAATAAAATCTAAAATATTTTTTTAATTATTTATACATATATTTTAATTTAATTTTTAAAGATTCTTTAGTTTCTTAGGCTGAGTTTAAAATAAATAAAGTATTTTGTTAGAGTAATTATTAATTTTAAAGTCAATCATAAACATTTTAATGAAATCAAATCGATATATAATCAATTAATTTATAATGTTCTAAATCAAAATAACAATAATCTGAAATATTATAACTGAAAATATAAAAACTAATACCTAAAAATATTTAATCTAAAGCAATAGCAAATAATAATAATACGATAATAGCTCGATGAAAATTAATTAAATTTTATGTCAAAATTTGCGAGGTTATATGCAATCTTCTTAGTTATTTTATTTCAAGCAAATCTTATGTTATTTTTAAGAAAATAATTTACTAATTTTATGTTAAATGAATGAGATTCATTCTTATCATTTATTATTAATTAATAATTTCCTTTAAATCTGAAATAATCTGGGTAAATCTTAAAAAAATGCTTTTGTTAAATGAAAAAATATTAAGTTAGTTTATATTGGTATTGATTGTAAAATTAATAAATAAATGTGTATAAATGTATAAAATGTCTAAAAATATGAAGAAAAACCAAAATTAAGTAAAGTGATTAATAAGATTAAAAAAAAATTGTTAATTAGAATAATAATTGCTATAAAAATTGAATGAAAACTATTTACTAAAAATAGCTCTTTAGTTAGAATAATTTAAAAATATATAAAATATATTCTTTTATTACTGTTAATTCTATTCTATTTAATATTTTATAAACTATCTTAATAATATTTGCTAATACTTTAATATAATA